CCGTTACCTGATTTCTACATGGCGGGCAGCCTGGAGTTCCAGTCCCATTGCTCTTTGATTTCCTCTCTTTATACTCTCTAAGTGATCTCAGCTGGTCTCCAAATTTACGTATCAAGTCTAAGCCTCTTTGAGCACATTCCACTGTCTATGGTGTATCTTTCTGGATATATCCCAGAATCTCAAGTCTGCTGGGCTCAACACAGAATGCTTTATTTCTTCCTGCCCTCTCCCCCCACAAAATACTCTTCTCCTCTCCTCGTCTTTCTTTCCATCTTAGTACATGGCGTTACCAACTTGTGTCTTCTCTAATATGTCCCTTTTCTTCAACTACCCTATGGGATCCAGCAGCAAGACTTGTTATTTCTACTCCTTACACATTATTCTCACCTGTCCACTCCCTTTCCATCTCCCCTGCAATTACTTTATGATTTTTCCCTTTTTTTCTTTTTATAGCTGCCTTCTCTGCACTAGCAAAATTATTTTTAAAATCATTTATTAATTTTTTTGAGACAGAGTCTCACTCTGTGGCCCAGCTGGAGTGCAGTGGGGCAATCTCAGCTCACTGCAACCTCCGCCTCTTGGGCTCAAGTGATTCTGATGTCTCAGCCTCTTGAGTAGCTGGAATTATAGACGCCCACCACCATGCCCAGATAATTTTTGTATTTTTAGCAGAGACGGGGTTTCACCATGTTGGCCAGGCTGGTCTTGAACTCCTGACCTGGGGAGATCCACCTGCCTCATTCTCCCAAAGTGCTGGGATTACAGGCATGAGCCACCATGCCAGGCCCACTGCAATTACTTTAAATTAAATCACCTCCCTTCTGTTTCCCAAATAAGCCCCAGAGTTCCTGCCTGGGGATGTTTGCATGTGCTCTTGCCTTGCCTAGAACACTTAAGGCATTGAGTTCCATATGGCACAAATTTCCTTACAGGGAACAACCTGAAAAGACTCCAAGTCATGCCCAAAAAATCCTGTGAGAAGAGAAGACCTTACTGCACCACCTCCACCTTCTAATCCATAACCAAAACAGACCCATGCTTGTTCCAAGAAAGAATCAAAGTCTGATAGATAATCAGTTCTAAAGTTAACTCTAATCACAAAATTGGCCCCAAGTTTCCTCTTGTCTTTCAGTTCCGTCCAATAATTAGAGGGAGACAGTGTCCAGTTTATTAGCCTTTCGAATTCACGAAGTAGTCTGAGAAAAAGAGATATGATATTCTGTAGCTCCACCCATGAAGAGGCATCTTTTTCCATCCTGTAACTCTGGACTTGACTACGTAACTTGTCTACGCCCTTGGGGACTCTCAAACACAATGCAAGCAGACGCTTGAACAATGCTGTGTACTGGGGCTTCCCCTCCCCTGCTGTGTTTGGAACCCAGCTGGCATATGAAGAAGACTGGGCTAGTCCTCTAGCTAAGGAGACACGTGGCCTGGTCCATTTCAATTGCACCTGCCAATCAGCAGACACATGGGTGAGATAGCCAAGAACAACAACTCTCAACCAACCTGCCAATGGACTATCTATATGAGTGAATCTAGGCCAGGACAGCAGTACTACCTGGATGATCCCAGCTGCCACTTCCAACTCACAGAGTTATGAGCTGTAAGTGATGGTTGTTTGAAACCATGAAGCTTTGAGGTGGTTTATAATGCAACAAAGACTGATATGCCTCTTGTGTTTGTTTTTTCGTATTGCAACTCTTGAGTATGCTCCTTCCCTACTTAAAATGCTTTAATAGGCCGGGGACAGTAGTTCATCTCTGTAATCCCAGCACTTTGAGAGGCCGAGGCAGGCGGATCACGTGAGATCAGGATTTCGAGACTGGCCTGGCCAACATGGTGAGACCCCATTTCTACTGAAAAAACAAAAAGAAATGAAAAGAAAATTAGCTGCGTATTGGGGGCAGATGCCTGTAATCCCAGCTACTCAGGGGGCTGAGGCAGGAGAATTGCTTGAAGCTGGGAGGCAGAGGTTGCAGTGAGCTGAGATTGAGCCGCTGTACTCCAGCCTGGGTGACAGAGTGAGACTCCATCTTAAAGTAAAACAAAATAAAATAAAAATAAAATAAAACAATATGCTTTAATAGTTGCTCATTGATCCCAGGATGAAACCTGAGTCATTAACCAGGGCTGCGGAGCTTCACATAATCTGGAAAGCCTCATCTAACACGGTCTGGAATACACAGTGTTTGGCGCACCAGCATTCTCGTGCTCCTGGAGTGATCTGAGCCCTTGCCCTCCTCAAGGCCTTCCCATACGCCATCTGGTTGACCTTTACTCCTCTCTCACACACCAACTTAAAAACTGCATCATCAGAAAGACCTCTTTTGACCAACTCTATTCCTACCTTTACTCCCCCACAACTGAAGTATGTCTACAGTTATATATTTCTCGGTTGGTTTCTTTTTTTTAAGACAGGGTCTCGCTCTGTTTCCCAGGCTGAGTGCGGTGGCACAATCATGACTCACTGCAGCCTCGATCTTCTGGCCTCAAGCTATCCTCCTCCTGAGTAGCTGGGACTACAAGTGTCCGCCACCGCACCTGGCTAATTTTTTTGTATTTTTTTGTAGAGACGGGGTTTCACCATGTTGCCCAGGCTGGTCCAGAACTCCTGGGTTCAAGCGATCCATTTGCCTAGGCCCCCACAAAGTGCTGGGATTACAGATATGAGCCACTGCGCCCAGCCTGGATAGCTGTCTTTTGAAGCTGTTATTGTGAGGGCTCTGGAGAAAACTGCTTGGGCTTAAATCCTAGCTCTATTACTTATTAGCTGAGTGCCCTTAAGCAAGTGACCTAATGAGCTGCTCCTTGTCTCAGTTTCTCTATCTCGGAAATGGGGTTAGAGATAGCACCCTCTCAGCCAGGCACAGTGGCTCACACCTGTAATTCTAGCACTTTGGGAGGCCGAGGCAGGTGGATTGCCTGAGCTCAGGAGTTCGAGACCAGCCTGAGTCACACGGTGAAATCCTGTCTCTACTAAAATATAAAAAATTAGCCGGGCTTAGCAGCGTGCACCTGTAGTCCCAGCTACTCAGGAGGCTGAGACAGGAAATTGCTAAAACCCAGGATGAGGAGGTTGTGGGGAGCTGAGATTGCGCCACTGCACTCCAGCCTGAGAAACAGAAGAAGACTCCGTCTAAAAAAAAAAAAAAAAAAAAGAATTTAAAATTAAAATAGTAAAAGAAAAGAAATAGCACTGAGTGGATTCTGCTCTATTGTAGTTCAATGTTTCTTGCTGAACAGATGTTGGTATAGCTCAGATGACAGTGAAGCAGAAGCTTTTGACACAGACACCATCTCCTTTCTTTGTGGCCACAGACACTGCCATGATTTAATTTAATTTTACTTTATATGATTTCGTATTTTATTGAGACAGAGTCTTGCTGTGTTGCCCAGGCTGGAGCGAAGAGGCAGGATCTCGGCTCACCGTAATCTCCACCTCCCAGGTTCAAGCGATTCTCCTGCCTCGGCCTCCTGAGTAGCTGGGATTACAGATGTGCACCACCATGCCTGGCTAATTTTTTGCATTTTTAGTAGAGACAGGGGTTTTGCTATGTTGGCCAGGCTGTTCTCAAACGCCTGACCTCAGGTGATCTGCCTGTCTCAGCCTCCCAAAGTGCTGGGATTTCAGGTGTGAGCCACCAAGCCCGGCCACTGCCATGATTTTATGAATCACATTTGGCTTTCCCATGGTTCAACTAATATATGTAACCCATCAGCAAGACTTGTTATTTCTACCCCTTCAACATTATTCTAGTCTGTCCACTCCCTGTCCATCTCCACTGCAATTACATTAATCTAAATTGCTCACATGCTGCCTCATTGTGCAAAGGTGTGGCCCCAAACTCTGAGCCAGCTCTAGAGATGCCTCTCGACACCTGAGCATGTCCCTGAGCACCCAGCCCTACATTTTTGGCTTCTGCTTTGAACCCTGGTTTCTCCCACAGAGAGCCAGACGTTTGGGGTCCGAATGCCTTGTCTCCTGACTTCTGTAACTGTGCCTCCTGTCACTTGATCATTCCCTCGCTGAGCTGGGATGTGGAGCCAAGAAACCAGTTCTGATGGCCCCAAGCAATGTATCCATCTCCCTTAACACATACGTGCACACACGTACACACAACAGGAACTGGGCGCTCTACACTGTCTTAGTGAAAAAAGAAAATATTTTAGAAGGTAGATTTCCAATCACCAAGTCCTTAGAAGCGTTCTTTCAGGTTCTGGACAGAAAGGACAAAAATCTAGGTATCCGAAAAAATAATTTTAAGAAGCCTGGTGAGAGGATGAGAGGAACTCCTAAGAAAAGCAGTGGGAGACAGAGAGGTGCATGAATAAAAAAAGAGAAAATCCGGCTGGGCACAGTGGTTCACCCCGGTGAAAATCCCAGCACTTTCAGAGGCGAAGGCGGGGAGATCGCTGGAGGTCAGGAGTTTGAGACCAACCTGGCCAACATGGAGAAACCCCGTCTCTACTAAAAATACGAAAAAATTAGACGGGCATGGTGGTGGGCGCCTCTAATCCCAGCTACTCGGGAGGGTGAGGCAGGAGAATCGCTTGAACCCGAGAGGCAGAGGTTGCAGTGAGCCGAGATTGCGCCACTGCACTCCAGCCTGAGCGACAGAGGGAGACTCTGTCTCAAAAAGAAAAAAAAAGAAAGAAAGAAAAAAAGAAAGAAATCTGAGGGGAGGGGGTGGAGATGGGGAAGGTGAGAGGTGAGGGAGGTTAGGAGGAGGAAGACAGAGAGAGGAGAGGCTGGGAATAAGATGTGCTGGGAAGGGAGAGGGAGAACAGCGAGGGAGAAGCTGCTTCCACCCCAGCAGACCAGCGCAGCGCTGCTCCCTGGGAAGGCTGCGTCTGTCTGGCAGGGCCGGAGAGCTGCAGCTCCCCAGAGCCGGCAGGCACTTCCCTTCCAACGTGCCCAGCGAGGGTGCCCTGCGCATGCTAATGAGGCAGTTGAGGACAGCTTCGCAGATAATTGCTGAAAGTGTGCAGTAACTTACCAGGCTGGGAGTCAGTGGGCTGCAAAATGATGGGGCACCGCTCCTGGGGGCCCCCAGCAGAGGGGCCTGCTCTCCAGGTACCCAGCGCTCACAGGTTAGTGGCTGCAAGACGGCGGGTTTTCCGTTCAGTCAGGCATCCAACCCAGCGATGGGGAGAGCCAGACCAAAAGGCAAAGGAGAGGAGGGGAACCTGCTTGTGTTTTTGTATTTAAATTGTTTTGAACCCACGTAGCCCTGGGAGTCACATGCCGCCTCCAACATCACCGGAGCCATCACATGATACAGGTCCCCCATCATGTGATGAGACAAATCTGCCTAACTTCAGTCCCCCACCCCCAGCTCCTGCTCACAAACTGACAGATAAAGTGCTTCTGGCGGACCCCCCGCCCCCGACCCCCAGTCAGTGACAGAGGGAGGGACGCAGATGGAGAACCCTCAGAGCCCATGCAACGCGAAGATCTTGATGAATACTTAATATGCTTTTCTCTCTCCTAAGCTACTGCGACTTGGAGTGGTGCCAGCCTCATTTGAATTCCAGCCTTTGTGAATAACTCAAGTGTCGCCACTGTTGCTCCAGCAATTGCAGGGCGTTTGAGCTCACACCATCCCGCCTCGTTCTAGAAGCCCAACTCAGCTGCCTCCCCTCCCCACAGCTTCCAAGCCTCCTCCCAGGGCAGTGGGAGTGGGAGTTGGAGGTGGGGAGACTGGAGCTGGAGAAGGGGAGACCACTCCAGCTGAACCTTCTAGTTCCTCTACCCGCCCCCCGCCCACCCATCTGCAGTAGGAGTCAGGTGGGGCCCAGTCTGGGTATCTGATTAAGCTGCCTCTGTTTTACTTAGTGATCATAGCTCTGTTCTCTCTGCAGAGATTTTCCCTCTCTCTCTCATACATATATACATTTCTCCATTTCTTCCCTTAATTAGGATACAGTTAAATCGATTTAAAAATCAGTTGGGTTTGGCCCAGCACTTTGGGAGGCCAAGGCAGACAGATCACTTGAGGTCAGGAGTTCGAGACCAGCCTGGCCAAAATGGTGAAACTCCATCTATACTAAATATGGAAAATTTAGCCAGGCGTGGTGGCACACATCTGTAATTCCAGCTACTTGGGGCGCTGAGGCAGGAGAATTGCTTGAACCTGGGAGGTAGAGGTTGCAGAGCCAGACTCTGTCTCAAAAATAAAAAATAAAAACATCAGTTGGGTTTGTTTCTTCCCATTGTAGTAACCTCCTTTGCTCATGTTTTCATTCACTCAATCTTTTATTAAACACACATTTTCATAGAGCACCTAGCATGCTGCAGATCTCGTGCTAGGCACTGAGAAAGGTGGACGGGAGGGAAGAGATGTTAAAGAAATGCGTAAAGCCACAACTGTGTCCCGGAGGTGCCTGTTGTCTGTTAGAGGCAACAGAATCATAAGCAGTTCTGGCAGATGCAAAATTCCAGAGTCACACAAACTCAGGTGTGCAAAGATGTGAATTCTCTATTTGTCCAAACCTGAACTACCTCCTGTCCTGCTCCCCTATTCTGCCCAATATAGGAAACTTCATCTTGTCACTTTCAAATAAATTCAGTCACCTGGGTGATTTTCTCTGCTTCAGATTTACAATAAGTCAAGTTAAATATTTTTTTTCTTGTTGCCTTTCTTCTCTCCAGCGTTGATACTAAGCTCTGATGCTAACTCAAGTAATCAAACAAATAAATCGTGCAGACTGCTTTCCTTTGGAGATAGTATGATTTGCTGCAGTTGGGGCCTTTTTGAGCAAAGGAGGATTGTGGTGATTTTGTTTCTTTGTTTGAGACGGACTCTCACTCTGTCACCAGGCTGGAGTGCAGTGGCGCAATCTCGGCTCACTGCAACCTCCACCTCCTGGGTTCAAGCAATTCTGTCTCAGCCTCCCAAGTAGCTGGGATTACAGGTGCATGCCACCATGCCTGGCTAATTTTTGTATTTTTAGTAGAGACGGGGTTTCACCATTTTGACCACACTGATCTGGAACTCCTGACCTCAAGTGATCTGCCTGTCTTGGCCTCCTAAAGTGCTGGGATTACAGGTGTGAGCCACAGCGCCTGGCCAGGATTGTGTTTTAAGACCAGATGGGCAGCAGTGTAAAATGCCTCTGAGAAGAAAGAGCCTGTTCCATACCAGAAGTTTTGCCCTAAACCGTCTTACACAGTAAGAGCAGAGAATGTGTCTATGGCAGGCACAGCTGGCTGCCTATTCTTGACTGAGTTTAACATGTATGTTGGAGATTAAGTTTTCTGTGGGACAGAAATTGGGTTTAGGGTAGAAATTAGGTTTGGTTGTAGACAAACAGAGTACTTATATTTTTGCATGCCTCAGTTTGTGTGGCTATGAAATTTTCATTTGCTGTATATATACATATTTTTTTTGAGACAGAGTCTCGCTCTGTCACCTCGTTCAGGCTGGAGTGCAGTGGCACAATCTTGGCTCACTGCAACCTCTGCCTCCCAGGTTCAAGGGATTCTTTTGCCTCAGCCTCCCGAGTAGCTGGGATCACAGGAGCCTGCCACCACGCTT